TGGAAGATGGAGTTGCAGGTAGTCCTGAGCCACCATGTGGGTGCTGGGACTCCTCTGCAAGAGCAGTATGGGCTCTTAACCACTGAGCTATCTCTCCAGCCCTTTTTAAAAAAAACAGTCTACACATGTGTGCTCACAGTAGGTCTAAGTCAGAGGACAAATTGAGGGAGTCAGTTCTCTCCTTCTACCACGTAAGACGTCTTATGGAATCACTCCATCTGCAAGTGGACATTAGTAACCATATCCATATATCCAAGGGGCTTGTGTCAAATGTTCATCTTTACCCCGTGAGTCATCTTAATGATGCTTTTTATGCTTTCTTTACATTCACACCTGCCATGAATTTACGTTCAGCCATATCTGCTTTATTCAATACTTTAACCCCAGAGTCTAGCCTAATGATAGAATAAAACAGCTCAAAGTGAACAGCCAGATACCCACCTCCAGTTGGCACCAGGTAGTTACTCATCAAATACAAATTAATTCATACAACACAACAAACCTCTATGACTATCACACTCATTAACAAGTGAGGAAATTGAGTCTTACAGAAGTAGACTGACTTACTGTCACATACATAGTAGGCTAAAGTTCAAACCTATACTTACTCACTGGCCAGCAATACTGACTTCATTCTTCTCTTTGGATAACTTTATACCCTGAAAGGAGATGGGGTCAAGGCAGAGAAGAAACCCCAAAAGGCTGAGCCTGGACTGTGACATGTGCCTCTTGCGGATTTTAGGGTTTTGGCAGCTTCTGGGAGATTCAAGAGCTGACTGTCTATGTGTGTGACTTATCTGGGGCTGTGCTTGGAAGGGAATGTGCAACAGACACCAAGGTGAGCATTTCACCCAATAAAACATCCCAAGAGCAAACAGATTTCCATAACCACTGGCAGGGAGGGGCAGGCAGGAGTGAAGGCTGCCTTCCTTAAATGGCCTTCGCCAGGCTTGGGACCTCACCGCCTACACTCCTCATGAGACACAAAGACAAGGGCAGGATAGCAGTCATTAATCAGTCTCCTTTCCAGGAAGCTCTGCAACAGCCCTGGTCACCCGCATGACTAACTGGGAAAGTGACTTAGGAGGCTGAGGGTAGGGAGCGGGTATCTGATGATGTAAGAGGATCCCAAGCAGGTTTCCATGTTTGCTTTTTTCATTGTCTACAGCAGCTTTCGGCACTTCCTTTAGAAAGGAGGGGAAATGGGTGTATTTAGTCCACACAGGTAGATGCCTGGAAACTAGGTCAATCCATCAAGTAACCGAAGCTTAAGTCCCAAATACAAGCCTATTTGTGTGTAGGGAACACTATAAAGAAAGCTATGAAAGGAAGCCATTTGTTTAAGAGCTTGTCAGCTCTTCTTTCTCCCATTCCATGTGGGAGTAAGACTGTGGATACTAGACTAGTACCTCCGGGACCCCAAAGTGTCTAGAAAATAATCAACAGTTTATACAGAAGTGGCTCAAGATGGACATAGCCATTGATGTCTATAATCCCAGCACTCAGGACACTGAGGCAGGAGGATGACCATGAGTTTAAGGTCAGACTAGGCTATATCATGAGTTCCAGCCCAGCCTGGATTAGACCTAGTTTCAAAACACCTCAAAGATTCAGTTTAAAAAAAAAAAAAAAAAAATGGTAGTGCACACTTGTAATCCCAGCACTAGAGGTAAGGGCAGGAGGATCAGAATTTCAAGGTCATTTTCAGCTACACAGCAAGTTTGAGACCAGCCTAAGCTACATGAGACCCTGCTCCACCACCTCCCCCCCCAAAAAACAGAACAACAACAACAAAAATCCACATGGGGCTGGAGAGGTGGCTCAGCAGTTACAACTGCTATTCTTACAGAGGACCCAGGTTTGGTTCCCAGCACCTGTACTCAAAACCACTGTAATTCCAATTACAGGGGCTCTGATGCCCCTTTAACGGTGTACATAAATTTACACAAACAGAAGTACACATAAATTAAGAAAATCTTTGAGTTTAAAAAAAAAAAAAAATCAACCTGGGGCTGGAGAGATGGCTCAGCAGTTAAGAGCACTGGCTGCTCTTGCAGAGGACCCGGGTTCGCTCGGCACCCACATGGCAGCTAACAACCACCAGTAACTCCATTCTAGGGGATTTGATGCCCTCTTCTGACCTCCTTGGACATTGTATGACATGGGTACACTTACACGCAAGCAATATAATCATACACATAAAATATTTTTTTTTTTAAATCTAACTAAAGAAGCAGTTTATAGAGGAGGGTTTTTGTTTTTTAAGACTCTCCATTCTAGAAACCAGAGAAACAACAACAACAAAAAAACCTCTGAGGCTGAAACTGTGGGGTCAAACTCATGGGGCACAGGAGTGACCCCAGCAAATGCCATCAAAGTCCTCTTAGTTCAGTCAAACTCTATTTGTGACCTTTCAGTCATGAGCGCAGGCTTTTTATTCCAAACTCCCAGGCAGCAAATTCAGCAGCAGCCCACAGCAAAACCTGGCACCAAAGTCACTGCCCTCTACTTCCCCAGGAAGTCCCAACAGGGAGAAGCCACCATGCTAAATCCCGGCGGCAACCCCTTTAAATGACAAAGCCAGTTCCTGAAGGGAAATGTGTGATTTCGTTAGAAACATACAACAGACCCAGAGCAATTCCACACTCCACTGGTGCAAGGAGACCCCTGTGGAGTAGGGATGGGGCCTCAGACATAAAGGAACTGGAACCATCCATATAAGAAGCTTGTGGAGAGGCAACTTCCTCTACCTAAACCACCAGCCTGGGGCCCTCACCTCCAGCTGGACCTGATGCTCCATCTCCATCATCACTAGCTGCTCTCAGCCCCCACCCTCCTCAGTCCTCAGTGCATTCCACAATGGACGGATTCTCACCCCACCCCCAACATACCTCTTCTTCCTTCCTTCTTTCTTCCCTCCCTTCTTTCCCTTCAATTCTTCTCTCCCCCCTTTTTTCTTTTCCTCCCATTCTTTTTTGTTTTTTAGACAGGGTCTTATCTCACTCTGTAGCCCAGGTTACCCTGGAACTCACATACAGCCTAGGCTGACAGTAATGCTCTGGCCTCAGCCTTCCAAATACTGGGATTATAGGGTAATCTCCCTTTCTCTCCCTTTCTCTCTCTCTCTCTCTCTCTCTCTCTCTCTCTCTCTCTCTCTCGGGAATGAGGAAGAGACAGACCAGCTGTGGATCCTTCAGGAGATTATTTATTCATGCCTCACATACAAAACATAATGCAGTCAAGCTCCTGAGGTTCTTGCCGGATAGAACAGTGTCCAATCTCCAAAGGTTCTGCTCACCTCAGGTAAATGAGGTACTTGCCTCACAGTTGGAGGCAAAGTGAACAGGTGCTACTATTAGTTATAAATCATATTACTGATCTGCAATGGTATTATGAGTCACATACAAGGAGAGTTTAGAGGGGCAAACTAAAAGCCAGGTGAGCCTGTAATCCCGGCAGCCTAGAGTCTGAGGCAAGAGAATCAAAGTTAGTTTCAGACCAGTTCAGACTACACAGGAAGACCCTGTCTCAAAAAACAAACAATAGACTAGTGAGTTAAGTACCTGATTAGTATGTCACAGGCCATGGGTTTGATCCCCAGCACCAGCACCGCCCCCCCACAGTCTCCTACCTAGGGCACAATATTTGTCCTGCCACAGGAAAACAAAGTAGCCAGCACTTGAGTTGGGACACCTTATATAGTGCATACACACACCATTTCTGCCCTTGTCCAGTTCAAAGCTGTGACAAAGAAGTTTGCCTTCTTCCAGAAGCCCACGGGCACCCTTGGAAACATGCCAGGCACCCACCCCTCACTGGCCTGTCCCACAGTGCCACTGGAAGAGAGGGAGGTCCTGGGATACTCTCAGCAACCTGCTTAGTGTCCACTTACAAGGTCAGGACTAGAATGAACCTATCTCTTCATCTCAGTTCACTGGTTGGGTGGGCATCCAGCACAGACTGGCTGAGCAGTCACCCACCCCTTCAACATCAAGGCATCATGAGCTCACAGAGAGCTCCACAGAACATAGCCAGGTTTCAGAAACGCAAACATGGCTAATCAAGCTCTGTAAAACACACCGCCTACCAAGAGAACAACTTTCAAAGTTCACAACAAAATTTAAGATGTTTAAGATTGCTGTAGATGTTTCAGGTGGCCAATGGCAGAAAGAACAGTGGAAAGTACTTCCTGGAGTGGAACTGTGAGCCGTTTCTTTCTAAAAAGTACTTTTTATTGTTTATCATGACAGTTTCCAGATCAATTAAATCATGAGGGAAGAGGACTGGTTTTGACTCAGAAGTACCACCTAGAAATGAGGCAAACCAGAGGACACCAGGTCCTCTTCAGCCTCCAGCCCTGACCAACAGTGAAGGAGAACAAAGTAAATTCTAGATTATCGCAGTGATAAGGGCTGAAATACACTGGATGCTTGTATGCATTTTCTTCCCCTGAGTCAGAGCTACATGCCTTTTTTTTTTTTTAAAGACTCATTCTTTGGAAAAACAGTACCTGTACCAAAATGTTTTCATCTCTGAATAAAAGCCACATGGTAACCAAGAGCAGGCTCCTCAGTTACCCCTAGAAGGTGCACAACAAGGTCTGGGAGTCTAATGCTGGCTCAAATTACTGCTCTGCTGATCCCGGACAAGTGAAGTCACCCCGAGCCTCGGTTTGCTCATCTGTAAAATGGGTCTACGATCTCATCTTCCCTACCCAGCAGGTTTTTGCGGTCTGAATAATAGACTTGTCTCCAGTGGTCAAAACCCTGTGAGAAATACCGATGACCTCTAAATACCCCCGCCCACCTCACCCCTTCAGAACACAGTTAACCAAACAGATCAACTTTCAACAACCGTAGTCGGAAAACCGACCCCAAACCTGTGTAAATCCCAAGGAAGAATCCTTGAGTTTTGCCCATTCCATTCCAGGCTCTAGAGAATGAAACTTCTCAGCGCCTTCCCTGCTCCACCCCTCTCCGCCCAGTTACTCCAGAGCTCACCTCGGCCCAGGACGTGGCCTCTCGCCAAGTGCCGCTCAGGCACCAGGAACGTGTAGCTTTCGGCCCCAAAGCCTGCACGACAGGGCTCCGGCTCCTGGCAGAGCCACGGTGAGACCTGAGTGGAGGAAAGGTAGAGAACGGGTGACCTGGGGGGGGGGGGGGGCTTCCAGCGGCCCACACCGAAACCAACAGCGTACCCCTCCCTCGCCCCGGGCGCCGGGATTGTGGGAGGACCCCCGGGGCAGACAGCTACGTCATCGCTCATCCCGAAACCCGCCAGTAACCCGCCCTCGAGCTCCGAAGAACCGCAGAGGAGGGGGCTCAGGGTCACCGCCTCACAGCCTGGCCTTCCTTTCGTGCCCGGCTCCTGCCTTTCACCGAAGGCGTCTGTATTCTTCCGGACCCCACTTTCCTCGGACGACGAGCCCCCTCCGGCCCCTCTCCCTAACCCCAGAGCGCCCCATCCTCACCTCCTGTTCTGTCCTGGCACGGCAGGTGCCTTCGTTCTCCCAGGGTCCCGTTCCTTGACTCTGGGACCGTCCCCGCTACACCGACTTCCCGCTTCCCACATAGGGTCCTCACCCTGCTCCACGCCCCCCCGGACCGCTCCAAGCCGGGATCCTGGTTCACCTGGGGCCCCCGGAACCCGCAGGGTAGCGCGCCCCCACCAGGGGAACTGCAGGACGCGCGGCCACTGAGCGCTCGCCTCGACCCCCTCCCGTTCCAAAACGCGCCGCGCAGCCTCCAGGCCGACCGTTCCTCTGAACCCCAACTTTCTTGTTAGAAGGGAAGCGGGGAGAGCAGGCTCGGCGCGGCTAGGAGGCGGATGGTGCGACCGGAAAGTGTACTGCCCCGAGCCAGGGTGCCCCACGTACCTGCAGCAGCAGCAGCAGCAGCAGCACCGGGAGGCTACGGCACCGAGCGCCCATGGCCGGTGGCAGGGAGAACGCGGGGTTCGGGTGCGGTCGGGCTGGGCCGGGCTGGGGTCTGGCAGGACTCCCCGAGAACTCAAAGGTGCTCAGCGGCTTCCCACACTTCTGAGCCGGGCTGTGGCAGCTGCCGCCAGGTGAGCCTGGAAGGCCCCGCCCCCGGGGCTGCTGATTGGCTGAGGACGCACCTGCTGGCTACAGCCAATGAGCGGCACGGCCTTCGACTTCTTGTACCCACCCCCCAGTGCCCCGCCCCCTGGCCTCCTCCGGACCTGAGGATCCCACCAGTCCATAGTTAAGGACGGGGGCGGAGCTTACGAGGCCCGCGTGCTTCCTATTACTAAGTTCAAATCCCAGCTGCGCCTGTGGACATTACGACTAAGTTAAAACTTTACCCTTCAGCTAGTTTTGTGTGACTTTGTTGTGTTTGGTTTTTTTTTATTGGTTGTTTTGTTTTGATTTGTTTTGTTTAAGGACTTAAACACTGTGCGTGCGTGTGTGTGTGTGTGTGTGTGTGTGTGTGTGCGCGCGCGCGCGATGTCCTGCAAACGTGTCACAGCCCTTAGGTGAAAGTCTGAGGGCAACCTGAGGAAGTAGGTTCTCTTCCAAGGTGCCTTTACCTGCTGAGCCATATCTCAGACCCTTTTGTTTCGGTTAATTTTTTTAATCCTGGGGCTGGAGCGATGACTCAGCGGTTAAGAGCACTGATTGCTTTTACAGAGGACCCGGGTTCGATTCCCAGCACCCACATGGCAGCTACGAACTGTCCTTAACTCGTTTCAGGGGAATCGGAATCCGAAGCCCTCTTCTGACCTCCACGGCATTGTGCAACACGGGTGCACTCACATACATTCAGGGAATACACTCATACACATAAAATAATAAAAATAATAAAATATTTTAAAAAAAAAATTTTTTTTTTTTTAATCTTTTTGAGACAGGGTCTCCTTGTAGCCACAGCTGTCCTGGAACTCACTATGTAGACCAGGCTGGCTTTGAACTCACAGAGATCCACCTGCCTCTGCCTCCCAAGTGCTGGGATTAAAGGTGAGCACCACCACACCTGCTAAAAATTTTTTCAATCCTTTATTATTCTTTTTAAACAAACAGCCCCATGTCAGTTCATTTTGTTTTGGGGAGGGGTCTTATTCTGGAGCCTAAACTTGCCTGGAACTGACTCTACAGTCCATGCTAACCTCCAACTCTCAGCAGTCCTGTCTCAGCCTCCTTAATGCCAGAATTAAAAGCCATCACTATAGTCTTATCTAATTTTTTAAATCCCCCTCCCTCACCACCACTCTTTTGAGACATGATCTTGCTGTGTAGCAGTATGGCCTTAAATGTCCTCTTAACCAGTCTCAGCCTCTCCAGTTCCAGCATGGGAGTACAGGTGTACCTCCATGCACCTCTAAAATTTGTTCTTTTTAAACTGCAATTCTCAGTGGGTTAGTGAGTCAGTACATAGATCCCAACAGTCATCTTTAAAAAACAAACAAACAACCCCAAGTCTCTTCAAGCCTCCATTTCTCCAGCTCAAAATAAGAATACTGATTATCACAGATGCCTCCTCTTGTTGTTGGGGGAGGGGAGGCTATGTCTCTTGAGTCAAAGAGCTCTGGGCAAATGGTGAGAGGCAGATAGTAAAAGGGGCTAGGAGTAAAGCTTACTATGCCAGGCCCCTTGCCCAGTATTTGATACTGACCTGGAGGAAGTCCTCTAATCTGTCCAAAACAACACAAGAGCTGCCTTGCTATCCCATTTGGTAGATGGGTAACTGAGGCATTATTGTGTGACACTCTACCCCCCCCCGGGGGGGGGGGGG